CACAATCTAGTAGGCAACATCGGCCATTCCCTAAATTACGGGGAGATTGCGCTAGGTGCCTTCCTAGATATAGAAAGCGCGTTCAACAACGCCCTTCCTCGGCGTTTGTTCTCTTCTATTGAAAGCAGAGGAATCGACAAACTAACTTGTAATTGGATCAAAAGCATGCTGGCAAACCGGAATATCACTTAATGACTGCAGGGAGAGGCTGTCACTTTTAGGCCTGCCAGAGGATGTCCACAAGGCGGCGTACTTTAACCCCTACTATGGACTATTCTGGTGAATGACCTGCTAGACGATCACTCCCGACAGAAGGTGGATTTCCAATGCTATGCGGACGATCTGGTTATCATAATTAGGGGAAAGTTCAAAGAGGTGATCTCCAACATCCTTCAACAAGCCCTTAATACGATCAACAGATGGTGCGAGAGGGAGCAGATGTCTGTTAACCCCCGCAAAACTGTTATTGTCCCCTTCACCAAGAAAAGGAAGCTCGACAAGCTCGACAACCTACCTTGGCTGGGGAAACCATTCCATTTGCGGAGGAGGTGAAATATCTGGGAATCACCCTAGATAAGAAACTTACCTGGAACCCCCAATTGGATAAAACCATCAACAGAGCCAGATCATCCCTCTGGGCCCTTAGAAGGGCATGCGGCAAAGCATGGGGGATCAGTCCTCAACTGATCTAGTGGATTTACCAAACAGTGGTAAAACCCATGGTTACGTACAGCTCTGTTTGGTGGGACAAGGGACTTCAACGGACGGCCAGAGCAAAGCTGGCTGGAATACAGCGGCTTGCGTGCCTCGCCATAACTGGAGCAATGTCAACCACACATACGGGAGCCATGCAGATCATGCTGGACCTAACCCCTCTACACATTCTACTGGAAAGGGAGGTCAGGATGGTCTTATACAGGCTCCTGAAGGTGGGTAGTTATTGTTACGAAGAACTAAGATGGGACAATACTTTAAAGATTTTTTCAGATAACCAGACAGCCCTTAAGGCGCTGAGCTCCAATCGAGTTGACTCAAAGCTGGTTTGGAACTGTATAAATACCCTAGAATGCATCGGTCTCCGAAACAAAGTTACTTTGATCTGGGTTCCGGGACACAGTGGTGTGGGCGGCAACGAAAAAGCCGACGCACTTGCTAAAAGAGGAGCCGAATCTGTGTTCATAGGACCAGAACCATTCCTGGGTATTGCAAAAAGCACTGCCAAAGGAATTATCTCAAAATGGACGGAGGGTGCAACACTCACAAACTGGAGAGATACCCCAGGGCGTTTATAACCAACCCTTCTATGAACGCCTCTGCGCAGATCCAAGAATGGAGTAGAAAAGATTTACGCATTTTCACTGGACTGATGACAGGACACTGCCGTCTGGGCAACCACATGAGAAGGATAGGTCTGCAACGGACTGTCGATTCTGCAGAGTGGAGGATGAGTCTGCAGAGCACATTTTATGTACCTGCTCCGCTCTGAAAAGAACCAGGTTCCAGATCTTCAGATTTACCCGACTGGAGCCTACCGACTTTAAAGAAGTTTCACCTAATTCAACCATGACCCTTATCAAAAGATGTGGCTTGTACGGTGAACTATAAGTTAGTCATGAGCCACAATAGACCCATCTGGGTCGCAGTGGAAGGCGATGAGATCATCCCACTCATTTTCAACCTAACCTATCCCATGAGAATTCGACCCAAGAACCTCCATAGAACAAATTTCTTTTCACGAAGTGACCCATTAAAATAGAACAAATTTTTTTGACGAAGTAATAATCATTAAAATAGTTAACGCGCTTATCTTAAGTCAGTTTAAATATTAACACCGATTTCAACATGATATCGACACAAAATTCCGAGAATTTCTCAAGACCACTGATCTGTATTATTTTACTGGATATGATATAGGCTATATTTAACATACTAAAAATCCGTTCCACCAAGGAGACCGAAAGTGCAACACTGCTGGCCGATTTGGGCAAATTATGGTGGGATCACAGAACTGAATTTTAGGATAATTTAACATACCTAACCTATAATTTGATTAGTTTTTCTTCTTATTCTTCTTCTATTCCTTCTGCGGGCAATGTCCTTCGGGAAAATTCACCTATAATTTGATTTTTTTATGAAAGAAAATATAAAAATGGAAACGTGAATCATATTGTGTCTTCACGAATGAACGTTTATTGTTTATATCATAAGAATGCTATCCGATACTACCTAAATAAATAAAAAAAACGTGTCATCGTAATTTGTTGACACAATTAAATGACAAATTTGATGACAAATGGAAATAGATGTTATGTTAAATAACATCCGGTCCGCCATATTATTTGCCCAAATCGGCCAATTTATCGGAACGTTTTTTAGGGGGCTATATCCTATCCAGTAACAATCCAGATCAGTGCTCAAGACACGTAATAAATCTACCACCCTTTTTTATCCATCCTAATTCATTTCCACCAGAGTTACGACAAACTGACATCAGAAAAGTTATTAAAACGGGTATGAACACCCGACCCCGGGGAAATCGAGATTAATTATTATTTTAAATAGTCTAATTCAATTGCCTTTCAAATTTAGTTATATATCAGTATTTCCGAATTTCTACATCTTGATGATCTATCTCCCGAACGTTTTCACGTCCCGACACTCCCCGTCCCGACACTCCACGTCCCGCCGCCATACTTCCCTACTTTTCTACGTCCCGAACGATGTCAGGTCCCACACCACCTAAGTATTTAAAATAAATTTTTTTAAATTTAAAAATCATTATTCTATCAATTATTGGTATTTCTCAAAATAATATCTAGGAGAGTCTAAATAACTCGCTAAATACTAATCTGCTTTATAAACACTTGTTGAATGTTTACAGATTTATCAATTCGGCGAAAGTCTCATATTGCCAAATATTTTTTCAAATGAATCACTCTACAAACGTTTAAAATTAAATATTATACCATTATTATGAATCTTTTGCAAATATTAAATCCGTACCCAAAGCAAATAACGCAACGTCTATAAAGGTTTGCGAATTTTATGATTCACGGTTCACGCACCTAAAAGTTTTTGAAAATCGTCCAAATTTTTTTACGGTCGAATAATTTCGAATTACATCTGGGAAGTTTTTTATGGATTTGGAGCCACGTACTTTAAGCGTGTGTGTCGTTTTTTTTTAAATTCGTTCGTGATTTATTAACGGGAATTTTACGATTTTATGAATAAATGTACTGTTGTCGCAGGAATATTTTGAATTCTTGGACGGTAATAGGAAGTTTTATTATGTATCAACAACATTATTTATAATCCATGGAACAATAGTGGATTAAAGATTTCATTACTGGAACGCTATTGCACTATAGGCTTTAAATTTAAAGGAAAAACTCTTAATTCTTAACCACAAAAATTATTTATTGTTATTGAAAACAGGGATGCAATAGTTTCGGTCAGTGACCATCATCAGGCCTGTAAGAAAGTATGCTAATGGGACTTAATTTGATTAAAAGTGAAAAAGTATTTTAAAAATTAATATATGAGAATATGAAATTTACAAATTAACATAACTTAGTACTTAAAGAGCTGACGAGACTACAACAATGTTTAAGGTATTTTAGCAATAAATGACAATGAAAAGGTGTTAAAAAGATTATTTGACAAATACTGAGTAGTTTTAAACGAATACTTATAAACGAAAATTTAAATAATTTGTGACAGAATACAATCTAATTTTAACAAATAAGGGTATAGTCGAAGCAATGAAGCAAAAAGTTCCTGGGGGTTTTTCCGTGCAAGTTGGATTAGAATGCGGTTTTTTGCATTCGCTTGCAAAAATTATTTGTATCATTCCCCCGTAATTTCCGGGTCATACAAACCGAAAATTGCATTGCTGCAGCCAAAAATGCATTCAAAAAATGCATTATTTAAGAGGCTTCTTGGATGATTTCAAAACTTGTTAAATAAGTGTCAGAACTAGCCCAGATCGGGTTCTCGGGGGGTTTTCGAGGTCGCTGATCACGATTATGATGTCTAAATTGACCCACAGCCGACCTAGAGCTCAGGAACGTCGACGAACGTCATCTTCGTGGGACTCTCCCAAAATTCACGCGGGGAAGGAGAGCAACTAGGCGATCGGGGTTTTTTGGGTCGCTGAATCCAAATATGGCATCGGCGAATACCTGGTGCGCCCAAACCTCGACCTGGACGTCATCTCCGAGAATTTTCCTCACAATATCGACGACAACAACAAACCCGAAAATGATTGAGCGGAGTTTTTTGGGGCGCTGAATCTAAATTTCACGTTGAAAACGACCCCCTGAACACCTGGTGCACCGGAACTTGGCTCTGAACGTCATACCCGAGGGGTTTCCAGACACAATTGAAAAAGACGAACCGAAAATCGTTCCGGGGGTTTTTTTTGGGGCGCTGAATCCGAATTTCACGTGGAAAACGACCCCCCGAACACTTGGTGCGCCCTAACTTGGCCCTGAACGTCTTCACCGAGGTTCTTCCAGACCCAATTGAAAAAGAATATTAGACATTTGAAAATTTTTAGGTAATTATATTGTATTGCTACACTTATTTGTTAAAATTAGATTGTATTCGGTCACAAATTATTTAAATTCTCGTTTATAAGTCCTATTAGCATACTTTCTTACAAGCCTGATGATGGTCACTGACCGAAACTAGTCGCTTTCCTTTCCTTTACGGATATACCACATTTGACATATGGATAACCTTATTCTTTTTAAATTTTTTGTTAAATATGTTTAAAAAGTGCTCTTTTAATAAAATTAACACTTGACGCATTATAAATCTTCTTCAAAATATAAATATGATGATTTTTTGACAACTGATATATAATAAATTCAATATTACGTTATATTTTTATAATAGTAATTATTACCTAGAGGAGAGAAATGTAAAAATGATTTTCTTAAGAAAAAAATCATACCAAAATTCGTTTTACTTGAAAAAATAAATCCGTCAAAACTTACTTGACATCTTCGACGAATTTTTCCAATTTCTCCGTTACCGGTACATTGGCCATCTTCATTTGGACGCATTCTCCGCTCCACCGCTTCATTTCGGCTACGATGACATCCGGGCCGTACCACCTCTGCATCAGTTCGTCGGTTATCGTTTCAGAAATATTAGCTGAAACAAAAACAAAATAAGAATTATTGCTTTGAATGATTCGGGTGAAATTCACAGAACAGCATGATCGCTGGATTCGTAGGAGGCGCGTGCAGGGCTGGCGCTGGGGGCAGACAAACCGGGTCCCCGCTCGGAGCGGCATCCTTAGAAGGCAGCAAATGTGCTTTTAGATTAACTATAGTCTATTTTTATATATGAGAGAGTAATAAAACAGCATTTCTAATGCAAAACTTAGTACGGTCATTTTAAATATTTTTACAGAATAATCTAAATATTTCCTAAAATTGTAATAATTGTACCTGAGCTATTACAAGTTTTGGGTCTTTTATTGGTCCTTTATAAACATAAGCTGTACAGAACAATAGAAAAAGGTTTGGACAGGCCAAAAGCCCTGTGTATTAAAGATTACATAGCCGTATCTTAAGATTATTTTCAATAAGTACCTATTTGCCAATTTTGTTTTATTTTAATTCCAAGAATTTCTTACAGTAATCGAATTATAAGTAGATAAATACCTTCCCAACAAATTTCACCGAAAATGCGATTATAGGTTTTCCATTTAGTAAGGAGGTCCAAGTTGTGTATTCTTGACAGTTTACTAAATGTCGTTTAGTTGCAACTTGCAAGGTGCAGTGTGAATTCTAGTGTGATCATGAAAAATTTGGAAGGGCCGCGTAAACGACAAAAAGATCGGTCCTTTAACAGTTAATGAAAAAACATTAATATTTAATTGTTTTAAATCATTTACAGACAAACATTTATGTAAAAGTGTTGATGACACAGTGGAATTAGTTAGTAGTAAGCTTGGTGTTAGGAAATCTACGATTTACAGAGTTGTTAAAGAAGAGAAATGTGGCGAGTTTCAAACAGCACGTAAAGCTCCAGGAAAACCAAAATTTCAATTAGAAAATCTTTTGAAAGAAAGACTTCGAAGCAAAGTGCATGCGTTCTTCTTTAGAAAAGAATTTCCGACAGTAAAGTTCTTGCCACGGTTCGAGATGATAAGGATTACCCTGAAATGAGTCGAAGCACACTATGGAAACTTAAAAGAAATAGGTTTTCTATGGTAAAAGCATTACAAAAAGTCTATTTTAATAGAAAGAAGCGATATTGTAGTATGGAGAAGAAATTACCTAAGGACTATAAAAGAAATGAGAAACCAAAGAAGAAATATATTTTATTTAGATGAAACGTGGATCAACGAGGGACATAAACCAAATAAATTTTGCCAAGATGAAACTGTTACAAGTCGAAGACAGGCTTTTTTAAATAATTTATCTACTGGTTTAAATCCACCATCAGGAAAGGGGCGCAGACTAATAATAGTACACATCGGTAGTTCAAAAGGTTTTGTTAAAGGTGATTTATTGACTTTTGAATCTACTCGTACCGGTGACTACCATGAGGACATGAATGCTGATGTCTTTAAAGAGTGGTTCGAACAAATTATAGATCTTCTTCCTCAGAACTGTATAATAGTAATGGATAATGCAAGTTATCACTCGAGACTTATAGAAAAAATGCCCACAACCAAGTGGTTAAAAAAAGATTTACAGAATTGGCTAAATTCAAAGAATATTAAGTTCCATCCCGGTTCTGTGAGAAAATAACTGTATCATTTGTGTTCCCTTCATAAGGAGAAATTCAAAAAATATGAAATTGATGAAATTGCAAAAATCGTGGAATGACGGTGGTTAGATCACCACCATATCATTGCGAAGTAAACCCGATTGAACTGATATGGGCACAGATAAAGGGAGAAGTTTCAAGAAAAAATAATTCTTTTAAAATGAGTGATGTTAAACAGTTGTTTTTGGAGGCTGTAAATAATGTGAAGCCTGAAAACTGGGAAAGGCAGTAAATCATACGATTAAAGAAGAAGAGAAAATGTGAAAGTTGGACAATATTACTGATGAAATGATCGAGTCACTCATTGTAAATATTGGTTGCGACAGTTCATCTTCTGATTTCGATTCTGATTTGGATTTGTAGGTAAGAAGTAGTTTTTATATTAAAATTATTATTTATGAACGTAACGTTGTTTAAAAGTCAAAGTTTAAATCCTTATACCTACATGACCCGTTTGACACAATGTTCTTAACATACCTTGTGGAAAAATAAAACATTTTAGAAAAAATTGCATTTTTTTACCTTCAGCTGTTTAAAAGTTATAAGCAGGTTAATTAGGTGAAAATATAAGTGTATACTCGCGAGGAATAACTTCAAAAAATATTTTAACTGTCTACTAAAGAAGTGGTACGCCTATGGATTACGAACGCTTTATTATTTTAATACTCTCTCATACATAAAAATAGACTATAGTTTATAAAGAAAATAATTCAACCAAGATTCATTTATTTATTTATAAGTTATTTATGCAACAAGTGCAAAAAGTAAGTGTTTATTGCACGCGACGTGAAATTGTCGTGGACAACACGTCGAGTGCAATAAACACTTTTGCGCGAGTTTTATACAATATTTTTTCTACGTTCATGCAAAAACCAAAAAATGTTTTGTTTAGGCGACACTACCGAAACGATTGTAAGTTATTTCATACTGTTTTCTTGATTTAGTGGGTAATAAGTTTAATGGCGCTGTATTTGCTATTTCACTGACTTCTGGTGGAGTCCCAACGAATTCTTCTTCATCCCTGTCATCCATTTTGTTCAATTATATTACTCATTTTAAAATTTTAAAATGCGTACTTACTTGTCAGAATTAATTTTTGACTGACGTTTCTAGAACTGCAGTTGTATTATCCAAATCATAGTAGCCGTGTACCTTTGAGGTATTTATTTACGTTTGTGTTCATAATTTGTAATGACATTTTTAATAAAATACATTGTTTATTAATTTATTTATTAAATGATTGAAAATAATATAAAATATGCAACTGTTTTTAAAACGTAATACAATCTCACAGAAAATGAAGGTGGACTAAATATTTAGAGTCGATTTGTAAATGTTTGTCAAGATCATAAAACGCTGTAGTAAAATGACAGATGAGTGCCATAAAGTTTTTATTGCACTAGTGCAATAAAGAACCAGTTTTTTCACTAAATATATTTCAATAAAGTTTTGTTTTTTGCATGAACGTAGAAAAAAAAATTAAAAGGTGGAATTTTAATAAAATTTACTTTTAATCATACTTTTTAATATACAGAGTGTCCCGAAATTAGACGGTTATATTTTAACAGCGTAATCTACATCCTAAAATAGGAGTATAAGTTCATATAAACATAGGTCCGAAAACGTTTCTTTTCCGAGATACAGGGTGTTAAATGTGAAGTCCTGATGACAAACTTTTGTAAATATGTTCTAAACGTTTAAAAATAACTAAGTGAAATTTAATACACATGCTCACCTTTTTTGTGCTCTATTAATTGGACTAAACGCCAGTTTTTGATCATCTTCATAGGTGGGTAAATTATAGGGGCTTAGGGTAAAATTGCCCCAAATTTTTTTTGTAGCTACTCATTACAAGTAAATTATGACGTATTTCAAGATTTTTGGATTTTCACATTTTAAGGAGGTGGAAATGAAGAGTATCGTAAAAATAACAAATAAATAAAACCAAATAAAATAAAAATAAATAAAAATTATTAAAAAATAAAAACAATAAGAATAATAAAAAATTAATAGAAATGAATAAAAATGAATAACAACAAAAAAATTAATAAAAACTATTAAAAATTAATAAAAGAAAATTAATAACAATTATTATAATTTGAGATGAAAAAATTTCTCTCGAGTAACGAAAACTGTCATTCACTTTTATTAATTGACGTTTAAGAAATTCTAGCGAAGCGGAATCGGGTCAGATAGTATTTTTTTGTTTTCGAACTTTTAAGTATAGTGTCATGGTAATGCCTAAGCCGTCTCTGTAGAGCACGACCTTGAAGTCTGCCACCCCGGAATTTTCTAGGTATGCCGCTGCGGCTTCGATAAACTACAGGAGTGATCCCTTTGCGGCGTATGAGTCATAGAGAGGCAGCTCTCTATTGTAGTGGAAAGCCGGGAGTATTCTAGCACAGAGTTGGGCTTTATTTATATAAATACCGCGAGTGGTCGACGAACAGGAAGATTGAGTTTAAGTGTTGGACAGAAAATAAATTGTAATAAATAAATTAGAATTGTGAGTTATAATAAGTATTATATAACTTAATTAGTACGTCATAAATAAATTGTAAATAGTGTGTTTTAAATAAATAAACTATAAATAAATTAAACAAACGTAACAATAGGTACCCATTCACTTCAAAAACCCTTAAGCATAAAAACGACATAAGAAAGTTGAGACATGTAGTTTTTGGGTAAAAAAAAAACACGTTTTCAAAGATAGAGTAGACTCCGTAACCATGAAAAGCAGAAAACACTCCGTCTAGCCCGTAACAAGACATTGGTCGATGTCTTGTCCGCTGCTTTAGAGTATGAGACAGCTACGCATGTTTCTGGTGAATACAATAAAATGAGGACTGTAAAAGAGGAAGAAGAGAAAGATAAACTCGACCAATTGGTTATGATGAAGAGCCATATTGATAAAAAGATGAAGACGAAAACCATTAGGTGCTGGAATTGTGGTGAACTGGGACATGTACGCCCTAGAGTCACAACAAATAAAGACAACACGCCGCAGAAAAACTAGAGCAGGTCGACCTAGGGGGGCAGCATTGACCAGAAAACGATCCAAAGACCCTTTTAGACTGATAGCCTCTTTGAAATGTCGCGATGATAATGTATACGTAGACGGCGAAGTAAATGGTAAAAAGTATACGATCCAGGTCCAATTAGGAATTGGTAAAGAAAAGTTCACTCATACTGTTATTGTCGCTGATATCGAAGATGTTATACTAGGAATGGATGTAATAAACCTACATGGCTTCCAGTTGGATTTTAAGAACAGAGTGATCAAAGTTGGTGTCGAGGTATTCCTACATCCATATGGGGACAGCACCGTGCCAGTTACTGTACAATTGGATACGGTGGTACCTAGGGGTGCT